ATGAGAGAAGTTGAATGAAGACGTGGGCTTTATTGATATACAGAACCGTGGTAAAAAAGTCCTGCAGTTTTCAAAGTGTGCTTGATACATTGTCCCAGGAAGATGCCTGTCAGTGTACTCTACTGTGACTAGCCACTATCTACAGTGCAATATAGTCATGAATATATGAATATATTTTTAGACTATCGCACTAAATGCCCCTTACCTTTTAAAATTCACAATATAAATAACACTCTCTCCATTTTCTAAAAGCTGAGAATTTTAAATAGAGAGGGTGTTATTTATATTGTGAATTATAAAAGGAAGGGGAATCAAGCAGGTGGCTGAAGGGTGTATACAATGCCTCAGACCTCAGTGCAAGATCTAGGTAAGTATACCAATTTTGGGGGTTGGATGGGCTAGACCTACTTAAGGGGTGAGAGCAAAAGGGTAAAACAAACTTTGTGGGCCTGTCCTCACCTCCCGAGTGCAGTTCACCTAGGGAAACATTTACCTCTGCCCCTGTACCAACAATCTTCACTGTGCGTCATTACCTGGAGCCACACAACTTTTCTTCAGAAAGGGTCCCCACCGCGTCCTTGTCATCTTGCCCATGCGCAAGAAGCAGACGGCCCTTAGTTTAGGTACACTCTGGGTATGTTTACAGAGACCCTGCCACCAGACTACTGAGATCAACAACAGTCTTCAAATAGAATTATAGGTGCATTCAACATATTTTAGGCATGCTGTTTACCTGTAAAAACCTTCTTCAGACAGCCAAAAGCCTTGTAAGTGCTGCTGGCTTCCACCATTTTGGAAGTGATTGTAAGCAGACTCACAGCTGTCACTCATGTGACAATCTATAGTATTGCAAGGATGGAGGGGGCTGTGCTAGGGAACCAACTTTGAAAGAAGTCACATTTTCTAGCAAGCTCATTGCAAGTCAATAAAACTTTGCTTATGGAAAGGAAAGATGCTGTAAGTAAGCAAAAAAAAAACGTAATTGTTCAGTGTTTTTTATTTGCATTTTGTTCAGTTTTTAACAGGGTCTCTCTCAAAGGAACCTATAGTGAGGAAGTATGGCGGCTGCCATTACTGACCTCTCCTTGTGAAAATACTAGTTGGATAAATGAATAGTCCACTGGATTGAATACTTTCTCACTGATTCACTTGATCACTAACTGATTTACCTAGAGCAAATAGCAACTATTAATCTGTATGACTGTTGGTTTCAGTGACCAAAGATAACTGAAGCCATGGACAACCAGGTGAATAGATTTTTCAAAATAAAGTAAAAAATGGCAGTACAGGTTCCCTTTAACTGCAGACATGACCTTATACATAAAGGGACACTAAACTCAGGAGTTAAACCTTAAAAATGCATTGAAGTACCATAACTAAATACACTCAATTATCTTAACTATTAACAATGTATCTAATTTGTGTATCACTCGGCTGTAGATCCTCAAATCATCTCTGAATTGGTACTGATTGGTGTCCTTCCTTCTGGAGGGGAGCTACTTTTGTTCCCCATGGTCCTGTGTGTGTTGTGAAGTAGCCACCGCTCCTGTGATGGATTACAATCTCAATACAAATTAATAAACTAAATATGAGATTGTAGTCCATCACAGGAGCAAGCTTGGACCGGTGGCTTATTTTTTTGTTAGTAGTTTATTGTCACTTTAAAGATCTCTCTCTGTGGTTGATGTACCCTTGTGTCTCTCTTATTTCCCCTCTTTGGGCCTTCTGGGGTTTGTGGCCTTGTGTAGAGTTGTAAGACAATCAGGATTTTCACCAGCACACCATGGTAAAGTGATAATCTTGTCCTTTACTCACATAACTCAACATCAATAGCCAGGCGTATCACTATACCACATTGTGCTGGTGAAGATCCTTATTTTTCTATTATTACATGGTGCCGCCATCCACCAATTTACCACAGCACCTTGAGTGAACCGTGGGCAAGCCTGTAAGGTTTGCAACAGACACAATACATTTTTTAGAGACCTGTGATAGACAATTAAAAAACATTATGCACAATGGTACTTCATGTTGCGAACCTGCAACCCAGTACTGGAAAAGACAAAGCGTAAGGCTACAACTTACTATGACCCTCATGTATGATATTACTGAAAATGAAATTTCAATACATTGACAGTTCACTCACACTTGCACAGTCTTCTCATTCAGGCACTCTTCCAGGTACAGTCGGTATGTCTTATGCTCCCTCAGTCCTTTCTGCAGACTTCATTGGAGCTGACCAATACAGCCTGGTCTATTACCCACCCCAGCCTCTATGATTGTAAAGTGAAGGAACAGTAACACACTGTTGAGCTCATCACTCTGCTCTCTTCTACCTAATCTAGTGGAGTCAGATTGGCCTACAGTGCTGCCACCATCTCCCAATCTGATTACTGTTATGAAGGGGAATACAGGAAGTATATTAACACAGATTCAGGTACTTATGCTGGTTCTGGGTAGTAGAAGAATCTTGTACCTTATTGGCCACAAATTAATGCAGAAGGTTTGGAATTTAAGTTCTACACTTTATTGGCTAACTTTAAAAAAAATCATACATATGTCTTCGCAATACTGTACATTTCACGTGTTTTATACCTTTAAAGTCCCTGCAAGTGCAGAAAAATACATAATGATCTGACAGAAATGCACTCGGCTCCTAATTCCTGTTGTGAGCTGAAAACACGCAGCATTTTTTTGAATTGAGTGCTGTCTGCCCTCCCAGTTCTCTTTATCTAAATTACTCAATCACTCCCACTATCAGATCTCTAATACATAAAGGCTAATGATTCCGCAGTCCCAGAATCCCAGAGTTATTAAAGATGTAAACTTTTGGGTTCCCTTAGGTTTCCTTCTTAAACTAGGAAATTGTGAGCTAGGGACCTAAGGGGCCCTGAAAGTTTGCATCTTTAATAACCTATCTCAGCCAATAAAGGGTATCACTCAAATGTTTTGGTTTTATGTTAAAATATATGTAATGATTCTATAGTAATAAAACATATGTCAGGAATCTATAGATATAAATGCATTATAGAAATAGATAGATAATAAATATATAGATATCGATTTATTTGTGGCTTTTTGTATCTGCTTAGAATTTTGGCTAAAAGAAACACTCACTTTGCCCATTCAGACTAAAGCAACAGTGTCTGTATATTCCCCGCTACTCCCCTGCCCATCCGCAGCAAGGTATATTCAGCAATCCGTGCTCCCTCGCCATCTTCCCACTCCAACAAAAGCCCTTGCTCTTAGGTATGGGGAGCATGTAACATCCCTACCCATATGACAGTGCTCGCATCGGCAAAACCAATCGCCATCCCCAAACATAGCCATGCGGACGGGAGGGGCAGTGATGCCATCAACTTGGGTAAGCTCTGACACCATCTGTCAATGGATATTACCCAGGATGGGTTTCTTGAGTGGTTAGTGGGGAGCAAGCGGGGATGACTGAGTATACCTTGCTGGGAGGTGGGCTATCAGTAGACACCATAACTTTGTCCTGAACGAGCAAAGTGATAGTGTCTGTTTAAGATTGTAGCAGTTGTCCTCCTGGAACAGGACGTAAGAAGAAATCTTCCATTCTGGACACCTATTCCAGTGACTACAGTCTCAGAGTGAATGTCCCCTTGCTTTAGAGACCAATGAAATGCAATAAAAAACTTTGTAGATACTTTAACCATTATCTACTTTGTAGAAAATGTAAGAAAAATATTTACGTTTTAGATATAGCAGATCAGGTCATGATTTAAAGGAGAACTCCAGATTTTTCAAAAACTAACCACCATACTGCAAGGGTTAACTGCTCATTTTGGTCTGGGAGATCAAATAAAAACAATATACTCCCCTGATTCTTGGTTCCGCCTGGCTACTAGATTGGTGCCTGCAACCTCTTCTCCCCTGGGCTCTGGTAATCTAAGCACCGTTGATGTCATCATGTCTAATGCAGTCTATTGACTTGCATTAGATGTGAGGACGCTAACAGACATACCACATCCAGAGTGGAGCGGGAGAGACAGGGTTGTCCCCATAATGAGGCATGTCATTGGGGGGGCGGAAAGTGTGGGCGGCAGCAGGGGCAACTAACAGCAACCCCCTGACTGACAGCTCGGACACCCGCTGCCTCCCACCTGGGTGACAGCTTGGCCGCCCACCGCCTGCTATCCGAACCATATTAACACCTCTGCTCCCCTTTCTCCTGGCCGCCTCAGGTGGCGAATAAGGTAGGGACGGCCCTAGGGAGAGAGGTGAGTGTTGTCTGTCACAGGAACAAAGATCAGTTGAGTATCTTTTTGTTGCGCCAACATGACCAAAATGAGCACCTAACCCTTGCAGTGAGTGGGTTGCCCGACAGCAGGGGTTAGCTTTATAAAAACCTGGAGTTCCTCTTTAAATTAGCCATATCAGCAGCATAGTTGACAGTGCGCTTTTCAACGTGAGTTCAACTTGCATGTAGAATAAATAGAAACCGATGGGTTTCCGGACCTATGTGGTGCCTTTAAGATGATACCGGTGTCATTTTTATTTTGGGTGGGGTTCCTCTGTGTTAGTAATAATATTTATTAGTGTCAATTCTGTACAATAAAGATATTCTTATTACAAAACCACATTAGCAGCTTTTGTGACTGTCTTTGGTCATTAGTAGTTTGTTCTAGTATGTATGGTTCTCATTGTGGTTCAATCTTTATAGTAGTCTTTCTGCATCTGCGTCTACTGTACAAACTGAATAGGTTTTAAATTAAAATAATCATTCATTTTTTATTAAAAACAACATTTTACAAAGATACAAAGGAAAGCAGCACAGCTGCAATAAATAGAGAGCAATAAAGTCCTTGAAGCAGCACAAGTCAGTAAGCATTGACCTGCAACATCTTGCTGAGCAGGTACCGAAACGCTTTAAATATGCTTTTCAAAAGTTTGTTAGTTTTTTAGCAACTTTTCATTTTGAGAAAAGCGATTGCAGTGTCATCTCCCAAACGGTGAAGTGGCTTGACAAAACTGATGCGGGGGAAGATATTCTCTATGGTTTCCACAGATGTTTCCTCTCCAGAGCTGTCGCCTTTGAGTCCTTGTCGTCTGTCATGAACATGTATGAGCTGACCGCTTCTCTGAGGCCTAAGCTGAGCGGACAATCCTCATTCAGGTTGCTGTCTTCAGTAAATAATGCAGAGCTGAAGAGTGAAAAGAAATGTAACGGTTTATGAGTTCTATCTAAAATTTAAAAAAAAAATAAGGTTATAAAAATTATTAAAATAATAATGTTCATGCATGCTGCAAAATGTCTAACAATTCCGGGTATTTATTACAGAGATCACAGTTCCCCCTCCTGACAATGCCTTCATCTGCTTTCCTCTTCAGAAAGACAGCACCATGATTGTTCAGCCACCATTCAGGGTCACCATCTACGGTACTTCTTGCACTGAGATGCTGGCTTAGAGACAACACAATCATATAATTCCCAGTGCCTGTGCAGTCCTTGACTGAGTTCACAAATGTTCCCTTTTTGCTATCTAGCACCTTGTGATTTGCTGCAAAGTTACGGTGTTGCAATCCTATCACTCGAGGAGACTGGGGAAATGCTTCCCCCTGCCTGTAGCAGACTGAAGACATCATCTCGGCCTAGGCAAAGTCTTTGGACTGGAAATCAAGGACTGCTTTTTAATTGTAGTCAGTACATTTTTAAAAAGTAATATACTGTTGCTATATAATGTGTCATGTCAGGATTTTTTTTCATGTAAACTTGTACAGTTACTAAAGGTCCCACTTCAAATGACAGCACTTACCTATCTAGCTCTCTCCAGTTGAGCGTTGGCTTCCTTACCATGACTGGCTGACAGTGCGGAGCTACTGGAGGGACGAAGCCTTGGATGATGCATGGGTCCTTCAAGACACAGCAAATACCATCTGAAATTTCTATAAGAAGGGAAAATAAAAGCAAAACAAATTCAGTATAATGTTTCTACTTAATGGAAATTCCACTTTTATGAAAAAGTGATATACTGTACATCATTGCCAGAGAAGCAAATATGTAAATATAATATCATTAATGGCCTTTCTATTTAATCTGAAGATGTTAATACCCCCCCTTCTCCCACCACCACCATCAACACCAAAACTTTTATTTATGGTGCTGCCTTGCAGAAATCTGGTAATTCTTCCACTATTTGCGTAAATATCATTCATTGAAAATTCTATTTCCTGCTCATGGGGCTACCCACAGGACTTAGACGTTAGGACATACCAAGTCAAGTTAGAAGCATTCTCTGCAACAGGAATTTCATTTTTGAAGATTTTCTGGGGCTGCTCAAGTCATAAAAAGAGCAGACATTCCCACTTAGCAATTAAAAATACATACTACACTCTATATCACTTCAGAACAAAGCAAAATGTAAGACTCTGCAATAAAATTTACCAAAGCCCCTGTAATGTATAGTTCACCAAAAAGAAACTTTGTTCTCAACAAAACCCAAGAAAAAGTGTGTCCCATCGGACTATTGACCGGAATAAAACCCAAGACAGGGTGGGTGCTGCAGTGACAGCAGATGCCTCTGCAAGTAATACGAAAATCAAATGGAAAGTCATTCGCTCTCCAAATCGTTACCAAGTCAATCTTTTTATTGATTGAGGTGATGTCACATTTCAAAGCTATGTTTCAGAACCTAGTGATCCCTTCTACGGGCCTGAAGAAGGGACAACTAGGTTCCGAAACATCGCTTTGAAATGTGACATCACCGCAGTCAATAAAAAGATTGACTTGGTATCGATTTGGAGTGCCAGTGACTTTCCATTTGATCTTTATTCTCAACATGACTGGACTGAAACGGTAGAGACCAGCTCCCGAAAACTGATAGTTCAGCTTTCTATGGTTGCTGGTAAGTCGAATTACATTCTGGCTTCTTATAACGCTTGGGTAACCCATTAATAAGATATTCCAAGCAGAATTCTCAGTTTGGCCCAGCAGCCATAGCCAATGCAAGGACACATGGTGGTGTACAAGCACTTCTATGAATTCATCATGCAGCAGAATAAGGAAATAATTGTGGAGACCTAGCTGGATACCTATCAGACCTTCATAAAGACCTTTTGGGAGATTAAAGACAAAACTATTGCTGGGAGTTTGTCACTGGAGTCCTAGAAACTGGCTGCCCAGTGATTTAACAATGGTTTCTACTGAAGTATGACTTTTGGGTTGAGTCCTTGTCTAGTTGGTCTTTATCTACTTCAGTACAGAACACTAAGGGGATTATTTATGTTTTTACATAAATTTTCACAAACTTTTCCACCTGAATAATTTAGAAAACTGTGTGAATCTTGGGTAAAAGTTGCAACCATCAATGCTCTCTTGTAAACTAGCCAAATTTTGAAGCGTGGCCTTACCAGAATAGTAGTCCACTATGTCCTGGAGTGTGGCGAAAGTTAGGCGAGGAGATATATACAGCCACCCATTCTCTAAATGATTGATACGATAATGTTTGATGGCATCCCGAGTAACTTGGTTGGATCTTCGAACTGACAGACTGTAACACCCTAAGAGGCAACCAAAAGACCATGAGTACATACACACACAATGACATAGAAGGTATGTTCAATACTGGAAGAGTTTTAGTAAATTAGGGATATTATTGTAAAACACGCAATGAACAATGCCAAGCAGAAGATTGATCAACCATAAAATGAGAGAACATGTCACCTACATGAGAAATTCCTTAGACATATTATTTACTTATCATATTTGTTAAATGGTTACCAACAAAATGTAAAATTTATGTAAACCCGAGCAATCAACTTCTCTTATTTGCTCCCTTTTGGTCTGTTGAATATGCCATTGAAAGAGTTTCATTTTTTGCTTGATGGGTGCAAAAAAATACCTGGTAATCTGGCCAGAAATGTGCAGTCCTTACACACTTCCTGTCCTAGGGTGACAACTCTGCTCCTCTATAGCTAAAATACAATGAGTGAACATTGTCACCTAACGATAGGTAGTTTGTTACTAGCTGGATCAATGGGGGAAAATAAAAAATAAGAAGACGAATGCAACCGCCACATCTAAGGACTGATAAGATGCAATATGTCCCATTTTTGGTTTTGGGTTTAGATACAATTAAAAGTGAACCTGTGCTTTGTCTATGCATCTTCATTGCACCTTCACCACCTACATTCAGTATTTTTAGGAATAGTGGACAATGTGACTCTTGCTCCTTCATAGCAGAAGCAACATTGGGTACCAGTTCAGGCATTTACCATGCACCAGTGTAGTTACATTGGGTTGGGGAGAGTCTTTAGCTTATGTATGATCCAGCCAGAAACACATTTGTATAAGTAGAGTAAGAAAGAGACAACTTCTAACAATGTTCTGTCCTGATGACAACTGTCCCCCTATTTCTAGTACAGGTGTCACCCAGGCAGGAAGTGAGAGAAGATCGCCCTGTGGGGTAAAAGCTGGCTATAAACACTTGAAAGAGTCTTTCATTCTTCCCAGCTCTCTCCAACATGAATGAAATTGCTGTGGCTGGAGTTGAACTCGAACACAATGCACCCAAACGCATAGGAGTGACCATGGCCTTACATGGAGAGCAAACAGAGAGCTATAGTATACTGTAGACTGAGATCCCAGAAGTAGTAATAGTAATAGTAGTAGTAGTAGTAGTAGTAATAGTGATAGTAGCAGTGGCAATAGTAGTAGTAGAAGTAGTGGAAGCGGCAATAGTAGTAGTAGTATTAGTAATAATAATAGTGGTAGTAGCAATAGTAGTAGTAGAAGTAGTAGTAGTAATAGTAATAGACAGTATTAGTGGTAGTAGCAATAGTAGAAGTAGTAGTAATAGTAATAGTATTAGTGGTGGTGGTAGTAGCAGTAATAGTATTAGCGGTAGTAGTAGCAGCAGCAATAATAATAATAGTAGTAGTAAAAATAGTAGTAATAGTAGTAGTAGTGGTAGTAGCATTGGTAGTAATAGTAGTAGTACTGGCAGTGGTAGTAATAATAATAGTCGTAGTAGTAGTAATAGTGGCAGTGGTAATAGTGGAAGTAGTAGTAGTAATAATAGTGGTAGTAGTAGTGGTAGTAGTAATAGTAGTAGTAGTAGTGGAAGTAGTAGTAGCAATAATAATAGTAGTATATGTAGTAGTAATAGCAGAAGTAGTAGAATTAGTAATAGTAGTAGTAGTAGTAGTAGTAGTAATAGAAGAAGTAGTAATAGTAGAAGTAGTAGAATTAGTAATAGTAGTGGTAGTAGAAGTAGTAGTAGTACTGGTAGTGGTAGTAGTAGTAGTAGTAGTAGCTCCTCTTTCACATTATAATGAACCTCTGAACCTCTTTGATGCTAGGTATAGTAAAGCTCTGAGCTCGGTGAATGAATATTCAGCAGCGGGTGGTGTACTTTTGGATGGTATCCAGTGATATACAACAAAGGGACGGCAGAAAGACTCGGCACACTGAGAGAAGACTACATGGCACCTGTGTGTGTACACCGGGCTATCTGGTTTCCTGTTACTAATGCAGCATTTCCACAGCTCACACCACATAATGTTTGACAGGTGTGAGGACTTCCTGAGGGCAGAAGACAAGTGTAAGATGTTCTGTGTGTACATTGTATATTTATATTCAGATCTCTGTACATAACACTTACAATTAAATATATATATTCTTTAAAGCTGAAGGTTAATCTGCGTGTACATTGTCTTTCCTGGTTACATAGTTACATAGTATTTGAGGTTGAATAAAGACATTAGTCCATCAAGTCCAACCTATTAGGAACCCCATTGCTGGCACCCCATCAATGTACTAATGGAAATTGTAAATAAATCCTTTCTGTTCTCATTACATACCTCATTTTAGACTCTGTACATAGAGCTTCATGAAACAACATCACAGCACCCTGCCTCAGTACTCCTCCCCAGAGCCCTCAGCCCTGATGCAAGCAGTGGACCAGCTTCTGGGAGGAGTTATGTAAATATCAAAATGCCTTGATGGGTGGATGTCAGTCGGGAGAAGTGGGCTTCCTAGGCTGTATTAGCATGCAGACCACCCTAGATAACACTTCTTTGTCATGCTGGGCCTCCATGATAATCCAATGAATGAAAGGGGCGGGCCAGGGACAGTCAGGCTGGGGAGGAGTGAGCTAGATGATAGTAAATGAAGCGGGCCCTATCTAACTTGTTGCAGTTTCTAATGCACATTGTGAGCACTGAAATCAGAGGGAGCAGTTTCAGCCCAGGCAAGGGCGTCCCGAGGCCGGGTGACACCCGGCCGTGTCGTTATCGCGTGTGCGCGTAACGTCACCTTGTGCGTGCGAGATTACGTCATCGCGCACGCGCGGCCATCTGAGTGACGCCTGCCGGTGGCCATCTTGGTGATGGGCTCCGGCAGACAGAGGAGGGGACGTTCACCCACCAGGTCCCCTCCTCCCTCCTGACACTGTCGGACTCTCAGACCATGACTGAGTGCCCGACTTTTTAGAGGAGGTGACACCAAAATGACTGTCAGACATTTTGGTGTCACCCCTGCAATGGTGTCACCCGGGTGCGGGTCGCACCCCCCGCTCCCCCTTGCGACGCCACTGGGAGCCAGTACAACTGTGCAAGACCGAAGGCAAGGCCGGAGTTCAGCTTTAACGTGCTGTTCACAATCAAATACACCTACAGGCATCTGGTCACTAGGTTTGACCTGTATATTACTGGCTTCTTTTAGGAAATGCTAGTTGCCTGGCTGTCTTTGGAATAAGTACCTATACAATAGTTCAAGCAGAATTCTCAGTCTGCATACATGTTCCACTTCATTAATGCTGCAGAATCAGCATGACAGCCAGGGGGCTAGTATTTTTAAAAGAAGAGGCAGCCTCCATCCTTTCTCACAGAAGGTTCATTTTGAGCGTGTGGTATGAGCACACTGAAACATATTTATTATTTCATCTAACAACTATTTCTGCAACAAAATATAGAATCATATTATGTATTTATTATTACATTCGTATGAAAACAATATTCCTGATAGGTACAGTAATTCAATAATATATAAAATGAAATGTAAATAAAATCTTTCTATTAGGAATATTTTTTAGGAATTATAATAATAATAATATGAAACATTATTTTATCTCCACCTAAAACGTCTATTGTTTTCTGCTTTTCTCATAACCACCTGTCAATAAAATATAAAGCGTATCTAAACCCATAATACACAATGCAGTAGATTGCAGCTAATTTGCACTCATCAAACAGAAACGACGACACACTTTCAATGGTGTATACGACAGACCAAGAGGGAGCAAAGAAGAGAAGCTCATTGTTGGGATGTACATACCCTCTAACATATAACACCAGTCAAATGCCAGCAACATATTAAGGGGCAAACAACATCCCATTATTGTAGAAAACTGACTTTCACATACATACAGGATACTGTAATTGGTAAATAAAACAAGAATGAATATTTGCGTGATGGGAAAAAATGTGACCCTTGCAAATAAAAAAGAATTGGAAATATCATCACTGCAAAAATCTTTTACATGCATTTAAATTATCATTGAACATTTTTATGTTTCGTAA